TTTTTTTTTTTAATTGAAAGAATAACGTGTGATTTAAAGATTAATTAAAATTTATTATTATCATTTGGAAAGCATCCATTGTTTTGGTTAATTTTAAAAACTGAATTTTTTAGCACAGTAATATAACTATTTTATTATTTATATATATATATTAATTTTTGAAATATATTATTCATTAACAACAATATTTTGTTCAGAACTATCTAAATCTCTTCGAAGTTCAACTATTCAAGAAATCGAATGAAGTTTATAGATGTGAAGTTAGAAGAAAAAAGATATTCGACATTTTATGCCAGTAGAAACCGAGGAATATAAAATAATATTATTCTGAATACGTTTTGCGAATGTAAAGCAAAACTTCTCTATATTATATTGATAAGATTAATTTCAATAACCACGATGATTAAATATCTTTTCTGGAAGTAACACGAAATCTTAGATTCCTTTTTTTACAATTATTTTGTACAAAGGAATTATGTGAAATAAAATTTGAATAAAATTACAATGCAATTCAACGTTGCATGACACGAGAGAATAATTAAAAAAGAAAAGCAAAAACCGGGCTATACTCGTCTATTAAATTTCACATGAAAATTTCTATTCTTCTTAGTGATAAATGCGAAATATAATTCACGTGGAGAAAGAAACAGCCAGAAATGATTTAAATCGGGAAGATATCTTAGATCGTAGATGTCTAAGATTATAACGTGAGTTCGGACGAAATATATATTCCCTTAACGGGCAAATATTTCCATGCCAAGAAACTGTATTCAACTGCAATGGTCGTCGAATTCAAACGCGTCTTTTTCACTTAAGCTCCAAGAAACACCGTGAATTATTTGTCAATTTTTTCATTTTAATTTCGTAAATTTAACCAATATATACACATGTATAATTCAAATTTAGTAATTCCAGGAAATTCTAATAATTCTGGAAGACATGTTATTGCTTCGCAGTAATGTTGAAAATTTTATACGATAGATGGTGGGTAAAGGAAAGCTACAAAGCTCGTAAAGAAAGTTCTCTCGAGTGCTGGTACCTATTAATATGATAAAACCGAGGGGTTCCAAGGCTTACAAAGCGTTCTATCATAAAATATAAAACAAAATGTGTGCTACGTAAATTAGGATGCAAAAGTCGTTTTATGAGCCGAATATGGCACGCTGAACTCATAAAAATTAATCAATAAATTCGATGGTTTAAAGTACCGCAACTGAAACTTTAGAATTCTCGATCTTCTGTAAATCCATTGATCCTTTATTCCCACGAGCGCAATAAATCTAAGGTTATATTTTATGTATATTTTTTTTCAAATTTCCCAATATTTTGTTCCTAGTACCGCAGAGAATTTTTAAATTACATTTCAAATGCGTTTAAGATATTCAAGGAAATAAATTATTATGCTTGTGAAGATACGTGCTATGTAATAATAATAGTCAGTACGTTATTTCACTTATTTTGAGTAAATTAAGATTGATTGAAATGGAAAGAGATCCGAAAATATGTCAACTTCGTTGCCTTGAGAGAAGAATCATCGTGTTGTTGTGAAATTTTTATTTTACCCAAAAAAGTGAGAAAATTTTGTTTGTAATGAGAAATGCTATTTTCACCGATTGATATGTCGTTTGTTAAATATTAATATATTAATGATTAACAGAAGTTGAGCCAAGCTTTTCACTGAGATTCGATGCAGGCACAATCCCACATTGTTGATTAATTAATTTTGCACAGATTACTAAGCATCCGATTCGAACGTGCTTATTTAAACACGTGTCACAAACACGTAAATCAAATTGACGTATCCCAAGCTCTAGATTGTTTGCATCGGTATTAAAATTTCATAATCTACGTACACGTGTGTGTGTAAAAGAGATAAATAAATTGATGAATAAAGAGATTTTTATAATGATAGATAAAAATTAATAATCTTCTTTCTACATCTATCATACTCTTTCTAAAGGTCTCTGTTCTTCATAGAATGTAGGAAATTTCGATTGATGCAAATGATCAAATAAGTAAATAATTTACATTTTCTCGAAAATTTTACTGAATCTTGATGTACGTAAGATCTTCTTCTTGATTAAAACAATCGTTCATTCGAGGGACGTAAAATTTTTCAAGCATCAAATCAAATTTCTCATTCAGATCTCAGTTTTCGAAGGTTGCTCAATCGTGTCGATTTTCTCAACAAGAAATGTTCCTAATTTTAGAAAGCAAATGAAACCGTACAACATTCAATATCGAATTGAAACACGTTGATATACTTCAGAATAAAAATCTTTCAGTGAAGGGGAAGCGCGATTTACTGCTTTGAACAGCTGAAGCAACTGGGTTTCAAATCACTCGAATTAAAAACCCAGTACCAACCATAACTTGGTATTGGGTTTTCAATTCTCAACCCCGTTCGAAATTAACGGTTGATTGTTACTTCGGTTCGAACAGTGTTCAATTAACACTCTTGTAACCCAGATTCATGACGAACGTGTGGGCGTTGTTCGCCGTGGTATTCCTGGCCATTTACACTGCCAACCTGGCCGCCTTCATGATCACGAGAGAGGAATTTCACGAATTCACCGGCGTTGACGATCACCGTTTAGCCAAGCCATGGTCTCACAAGCCAATGTTCAAGTTCGGAACCATACCTTGGAGCCACACCGATAGCACTTTGGCTAAATACTTCAAGGAGATGCACGCTTACATGAAGAAGTTCAACAAGAGCAGCGTGGCTGAAGGAATCGAGGCTGTCATCAGCGGGTAAGTAGAACTAGACGATGTTATTTCATCCTGAAATATTCGTGAAAAGAAGACTGTAGTGAAATATTGAATACCCCAGGTAATTTTACTCTTAGTAATTTCATATTAATAATTTAATGAATATGCTTGTTGTTTCAGTAATTTCAGTTTGTCAAAGTTACTTAGTGCGTTAGAAAATAGAAAATTTGAAGGTCGTTTATATGTAGTAATAATATATTATTATAACAAAGTGTACAATCTAAACACATTATAATGTAATATAATAAATTTATAATATAATATATCATTAATAAAGATTTCTGTAATGATTTTATATAAGAGAATTTTATGTATTGGTATTACAAGCAACATGTTAAAATTATGAGAAATTTAAATATGCATATGTAATATATCAAAGTACACGAATACAGTAATATTCGATAGATGAAATAGTTTTTTACTATCATTAGATTCTTTAGAATTTTTTTAAAATGTCCTTCAATGTCTCTCTTTCTACCTTTCTACGTTTTCCAACATCACTTTAGAAACGACTTAGTACTTTAAACACGACTTGGAGCCTGTTGTCAAAGTTTTAAGTTGGAAGAAAGAGAAAGGAAGTTTCGTAACTTTGCCGAATTTCGAACATCTCGTGTACATCCAAGCCATTGCTCCATTTTCACCAGGAAAACATATGAAAACACCAAGAAAAAAACTGGTTTTACGATGGTTTTAAAGACTGCATTCTCCTATTTACAACAATCTCTTTAATACAATTTTTTTTTTAACCATTTCATTGAACTTTGAACATTAGCATTAAACGACAAAATTCTTGGATAATTGTCATTTAATTCTCATATTCAAAGTTCAATAAAATGTTCAAATAAAATCGTATAGCAAGTTCCGAAAGCTCGTTCTAAAAGGGAGACTTCATTCTTCAAAATAATGATAGATTTGGTCGCGAAAAAAAAATTGTTCAATATTCTTATAAATGTTTGAATTTCTTTCAATTTTCGAAAGAAAAAAAATATCTTTGAAATAAGATCATACGATTTTTTCTTCTACAAAGTTATCGCAGTTTAAATTATTGGAAATTTTTCATCGTTATTGGCTCAGTTCTCATCACATTGTATAAAAGTTTCTGCATCCCATTGTATTATAAAGTTCGTCTGTTTTTATTACTTCGGTGCGAAAAGTTTACGCTTTAATCGTAAACAGGAAATTCTAGTGTTAAAAGGTCCACGAAAATGTTGCTCGATAAATTTGTGCATCTCAAAGATGGTGTGTTATATTCATTTAATCGAAACTTTCAAAGAAAAAACGACAACAAAAAAAAAACAAAAAACCTTCATAAAGTGTCGCTTCGTTGAATTCACCGACTGGTAATGGTGTTATAATTTTGTCAAACACATCGTCTGACCGCAGTAAATGCGCACGCATTACGTATACGTGGCTCGTTATCAAAGTTTCCTCGCGGAGTTGCTCGTTTAATCTCCGGGATCCAGCGATCGCTGTTTTCGCGAGGGAAAAACTGCACGAGATGTAAATTATCGCGCAAATAGAAGGAAATAAGTGAGAGAAAGCGAGAAAGGAAGAGAGAGAGAGGAAGGGATTTTTCTAACGAAATTTCTCTAGGAATAAGCTCTCGACTAAATTCACAACTTTTTAATGAAATTCTCAATCGATATATGAAACGTTGGACATCAAAATGGAAAGCGGATTCTTTCGAGTCAATTCTACTCATTCTCTCAGTCTCAAACATCTCGATTAACGCAGAAATTACAATTTCCTTATTATCCGTGTGCCGTCTGCGCAATCCTTTCGTACAAGCATTGAACCTACAAAAAAGTGTATCGCAATTAAAATCGTTTCGACGCCGATATTATCATTCCACGGTGAAAATCGATGAGACGATTCGAGGGAATTCCTTTTCGCAGAGGGATTTCCTTCGTTCTCGAGGGAAGGCCTTGATTGAGCGCGATTCAGACGAGGCTGAATGATCGTTCTTCGTAAAAGGGGAGAGTTTAAAGGCTCGGGTCGAACGATCGAGCCAGACTCGATCCGTTCGTTCGATTCGACGGTACCTTTTATGGTTTTTCCACTCGTCTCTCTTGCCATTCTTCTTATAGCAACGTCGTCTTTCAACAGAGAAATGGACGCGTTCATTTACGACGGGACGGTGTTGGACTATCTGGTGGCGCAGGACGAGGACTGCCGTTTGCTAACCGTGGGATCCTGGTACGCCATGACTGGATACGGCCTCGCGTTCTCCAGGAATTCCAAGTATCTGCAGATGTTCAACAAGCGTCTGCTGGATTACAGAGACAACGGTATCAGTATCTGATCACTGTATCATTTGAAATTAGACTCAAGAGACCATTAGGACAGATAGATCCTGTAGTTTGAGATAGAAGAGACCTGATCTCAGTGAGAAACTTCACTCCTTGTTTTGTTTATTTTCCACTACGGTCTTGCATTCACTTCATAAGGAGTTCAAGTTTCAGAATTCTTGTAGTATCTTTAACATACAGAAACTAAGAAATTGTTGAAAGTCTGTTTCGGTGTTTTTACATTTTAATCGAATGTGGCTTTGATAATTAAATAATATTAAAATAATGTTCGACTTGAATTTCTAATATTAAAATTCAATTTGATTTTAATTTTAATTTGGCTTGATATCACTAAATTTCCATTTTGATGTTGAAGACCGTTCATAATTTGTATTGTATTTTTTTTTTAACACAATAAGTGTCAGAAATTTGATTGTCTTCTGTCCACAGATCTAGTTTCTTTCGCTGCTAATTTTATTTTGAACAATTCTTACTAATTTTATCTCGAACAGTTCTTCTAGAATTACATTAAAATCTTAAGAAATTTGAATTAAGATATCTATTCATTATGATACCGTGTAGATATTTTCTTTTTTTTGGGGGGGAGGGGGTTAAAAGAAGGATATTGAAATTCCAGGAGACTTGGAACGTCTGAGAAGGTACTGGATGACAGGTACATGCAAGCCAGGCAGAGAGGTACAAAAGAGTAGCGATCCCTTGGCGCTCGAGCAGTTCCTTTCCGCGTTTCTCTTATTGATGATGGGAATTCTTCTGGCCGTGGCCTTCCTACTACTCGAGCATTTGTATTTCAAGTATGTCAGGCAGCATCTGGCACGAAGCGACGGTGGTGGCTGTTGCGCACTTTTCAGCTTGGTAAACAGCCTTTCTCTCTCTCGGTGAAATTTTCCAAATTTATCGGTTTGCATTTCTACGTGGATTTCTATGCATTCGTGGAAAGTTTGCAAGAATAAGAATATCCAAAAGTATTCGAAATATAGTAGACTCTTTTTTTTTGTGACTATCTTTTTTGTAAAAAAAATTGTACGAACGTTTGCAATTTACGTTGATATTTCTGGTGATTTTTATTTCCAATATCGTTTCTTTGCGAAGAAAAAAAATTCAATTATTGCATTTGCGTTACTACATCGACTCTACAACAATTTTTGAACAACTGTGACAGGTGAAATGTTGCAATATCAATTTTTTATATCTATTTTCTATTTCACCTTTACAGATATGACATTTTATATCAACTTAAGACCAAGAATTTTCTTCCCCAGCCTCTCCTTTTGACATTTTAATTCCAATTGGATTAAAATTTTTCTTTTCAGTATTAAAAAAAAAGGTTACTATTTCAACATTGACATATAAATATAATTTCAAACTTTTTGTATACTTTGACATTTTTCAAATACAAACGTAGTATAAAGCGCCACGAATCAGACATTTCGCATGTTACGATCTATTAAAAGTCTCGCATGTGAAAAGCTTCTCGTTCGACGTTTAAATATAAATTCTATCTGAAAATTTTTCCTGTTTAAAGAGTATGGGGAAATCGCTGACATTCCGCGGAGCAGTCTACGAGGCACAGGATATCCTAAGGTACCATAGATGCAGGGATCCTATATGTGACACACATTTATGGAAAGTGAAACACGAATTAGATATGGCCAGGATCAGGATACGACAGCTGGAGAAGGATCTGGAGGCACACGGAATAAAACCCACTCAGGCCAAGTACGCTGTCATCTTAATTCATTCGAATTAACGTTATATTCCACTGATTAAAAGTATTTCATAGTATGTCTGCATTGCAGTTGAAATTCTTGACCTTAGTTCATTCAGGGGGATCTCAAAGAACATATCTAAATTCGTTAGAGTTTCTTGAAAAGTTTCACGTTCTAATTTCCTTATTTTTTTAAACAAGTGTGTCATTTATTTATTCATGTTGTATATAAATATAAATTCTTGTAATAATTGACCGCGAACGTTTCCCGAATTTGTATGAAAATTGAAGATGAAAAAGTGATATCGAAATGAAAGTAGTAGGTTGTAAAATATTATACGGCATGCCTGACTTCTGATTGTTCGTACTACTGAATCTCGAAAGGGATGCATTTAAATTTAATGATATTAAAATACGTAAAGCACCAGAGAGAAAATTATTTATAATAAGCTTTGTAATTGATATAAAATAACACATTTATTTGTTTTTTCAATATTTATCGTATTAATATATTATTATATATAAAACAACCTGGTTTACTGGAAAATTTATTAATTAGCTTCAATTGAAAACTGCAGTGGATGCTGCTTTACTTTGAATAATTTTATACGATTTAAAATATTTGCATTCATTTGTTATTAATATTTGTTCATCGCGCGGATACCATAGCCAATATCCACAGTCACGTGCAGAAAAATATTAAATTACGTAAGCATCTGTTGTCCACAATGTTGCTACAATGCTCGATACACGAAAGTGGATGCATAAAAGAGATGATTACGTGGACGATTGGTCATATTGAAAATTCGTTAGCGAAATTCTTTGAGATCCGCTTGATTGTTTGAAGGAAGAACTCCGAAACAAAGGGCGAAAAGAGGGGAGGGGGGAGGGAAGGAACGTTCCATTCGTGACAAAAGAGATCCACGTGAA